ATCTTTCTTGGGTAAGGCAAGCTGCAAGCCATTTGCTTAGTGAAGGAAATGGGGTGGATCTCACCTCTCTGGATTACACTGCACATTTCATAGGGTGCCACGTGGGAAGTTCTTAAGAAAAGGGAGAGGTGATTTTGCACAAGGTATAACCCCCTTAAAGACCTGGTGTGAGAGCAGCAGAACTGTCAGGCTGGAGGGCACTTACCAGGGGAGGGTTGAGCATCACTCTGCAGATCTGGCAAAGTGCTTTTGTAAATGACTTTGGCACTAATGTTACTCGAGAACTGGTGAATTTGCTGATGACAGAAAATATGAAGCAACCTCAGGAGAAAGGAGGCTTGAAATATTACATAGAGAAAGGTAGATTGCAGAAAGTGGTGGTCAGAGGCACAAATGACCAAAGCCTTTCCTACGAGCTCCCTGGCAGTTCAAGCTTTGATCACCAAGTAACTGACTTGTCAACAGTGGAAATAGGAAGTGAGAAATGCAATCCTGGAAGGCAGCAGGAGAGGTGCAGCCGAGGCTGCACTGAAGGCTAGGATGAGCTTGAGGAGAGGCTATCTCACTCCATTTTGCAAAGCAAATACTGTGAGCATGAGGCTTTCTCCACATAAACACTCCCAGGAAGGGAAGAGAGAAGAGCTGAGGTGCTAAGGGCCAGTGCTGGTACAGAATAAATGATCAAAAGGAGGCATCAGACATTTTGATCAGAAGATCATTACCAACCATTTGACAATGTGGTTCTGGAGTGGCCTTCCCACTGCAGTCATGCATGCAAAATATTGAATTGCTTTGAGGATGGAACTTGGCAAGGTCATGATAAGGATTATATCACAGGGTGCCTTTGATAGGAGACCTGATAGCACAGAAGTTCCTGCCAGTTCTAAGCACAAAGGTAAATGTTCTGTAAGCCTCTGTCCATATAAATATAGAGCATGTGATTATATACACACAAAAAGCAGGCACATGATTTATTAATCACAGGACCTCAGCTTGTCAAATAATAATTACAAGGCAATAACACACCTTGTTTTAATAAATGGCTCCCTAAGATTCTCTCCCACAGTAAACCAGTAGAAAGGGTCAATTATTCGGAGGTGGAGGTGGCATTTTGTGTTTCTGGTTGTTAGCTTTTAAATGAACTCACCGTCTGGAACTCTTAAATCAAGTACTCCCATTTTTCTGCACATTTCACAAGTTCAGCCCTTTCCAGTAAAGCGTCTTTTCAGATGCGTGGTTGCCCTTTGTTAAGGCAAGAATGAACAGATGACAGCGGCAGCACGGAGCAGACATGCCCGGAACAGTCGGACGGAGCAAAGCCGCTGCTGCCGCTGCCAGGAGGGCGCACTCGGAGCCCCGAGCAGGGCAGGCTTCTTGTGCAACGCGAGGGGCAAGTCCTGGGAAGCCATGAGAGAGGCGGGAAGGCAGTGGTTCGGGAAAGGGTTTATGCAAAGCCATGGCAGCGGGTGACCCCTCGGTCTCCGTGCTCGGGCAAACGCAACGCGATCCCTTCTCCGAGGGCGCCCAGCCCCGACAGGCGCTGCGCACCCAGGGCTGCAGCGCTGCCCCGCTCCCAGCTCCCGCATGGAGCTGCACCAGGGTGTTCAAATGAGCTCTAATTACTGAGCATTAAAAAAAGTGAAGGCGTGTTTCAGTACCCTTTCAACCTGGAGCTGACGCTGCCCGATGAAGAAGAATGGGTGTGCTGTGTTTGCAGTTCATTTCATGAAGGCACCTTAGCAGAAGATGCAAAATTAAAAGTAATCTGAAGGGAAGGAAAGCAGAAGGCCAAGAGACAGGCAACTGAACAGAGCAGATTGATTTAACAGATATGATACATTTTTGCTGTCTGCATTATGTGTGGAAATTCTTATTCCAAGTGACACAGTAACAGACTCGACTGTAATCAAACAGCACTGCTGAGGTGTCAGGAGCACAGATGCTGCCTATCGAAAATATTTAAAACAGAAAGTAAAACTTTGAAAAATCCACAGTGGGGAGCGCAAGGGAAATGCTCGGTGGCGTTTCTAACCCAAGGCAACTTCTCTCTGCTTTTCACTGCTCTCTCTGGAGCGGGAGGTCGGAAGCCGTGCGTGAGGCAGCCCAGCGGCAGCTCGGGCAGAGCTCGGTGAGCAGCGAAGGCCGGGCAGCCGGGGCAGGGCAGCGCGGACACGCGGTGTGCATTGTGCGCCGGGCACGGCACGGGGGAAGGGCCGCTCCACGCCTTTGGGGCAGCTCCAGCCAATGGATTCCTCCCCTGGCTGCTGCGGGAGGGCTTGGCCTGCATGTGAGAAAGGGAGGGGAGAGTTTGAAAACAACCCAGTAGGCTCTAAAGGAAGGAAGACTGCTGGAGAGTGGCCTGCTCTCCTCCGTGCGAGCGTTTTGCTCCAGGTGATCGGCGGCTGTGGGGTGGAAGCGCGGCCGGGGCCGGCGGCCGAGGCGCGGCGCAGGTAACCCGGGATGCGGAGCGGGGGCCGGCCGGACACCCCTCACCGCTGCCTCCAGCTGCAGACACTCCCGAAACGCTCCAAAGAATTTGGGAGATTTTTTGTTGTTGTTGTTGTTTTAGGTTTTTTTTCCTATGTGAGGAGGAATTTTGCTGTTTTGTTTTCATGGGGATTTTGGTGGTGTGTTTGCTATTAATATGTCTGGGGTAGGGAGGGAGGGAGCGAGCAGGTCTCTACAGCTCAGAGGTTTGCATGTGATCAGCTGTTTTCTACTTATTGCAGGCAGCTTTGAGGTTAGAAAGGGAAAAAAGGTGATGTCTATTAGTAGGCTGGTTGATACAGTGGAAAAATACAAAATGTATTTCATGCACATCAGCTCTTTTTCAAGTCACGGTGCTTTAAAAATCAGAAAATATGTGCAGATGAGATTTTCAGTGATTGATAGCCCAGCTGCTAATAGAGATACTCAGCAGAAGAAAGAAAAACTACAAAATTTTCTTGTCTGGAGGTGTGCTGGATGGTTTGGTGGTTTTCATCTTCTTTTGATTACTGACCCAGCTTTAGGCCTCTTGGAAGTGATCCAGACCTAAACTTCAGCAGAAAATCCTTTAGCAGTTTTCCATGGTGCTTTAAAAGGTGTAATTGGCATGATGCCATATTTTGTGCCATCTTCTCTTGTGCAGATTCTGGTTACTGTTTCAGCCTCTCTGTCACCTCTTTCTTCTTTACAGAAAAATTTCTTTAAAGCCCCACTCTGCCTTGCAGGGAAAGCTGAATCCCACCATCAGTGTTAATAGGTAGATTTAGTTTCCAAATCTTGGTGATGACACTGTGGTGGTTTGCTTGGTATGCACGAGTCAGCAAAGGTGCAGAGAACAAACCAGGAACTATTTTTTGATTGATGGAGAAATAACATCTTTTAAAGCTGCCTCTAGGTCGCGTGTGGAAAAAATCTTGTGTGAGCACGTTGGACTGTTCTGACTTGAAAAAGTCTGCAATTTAGTGTCTTCATGAGCAAGAAAGGTTTTCTTTCTGTCATTTAGCTGATGGGGAAGATATCATGAAAACATGGCAATCGTGTTGCACATTCTTTTAACAGATTGTTGTTTTAGATCTTAAACCGATTTTGGATGATTCATGCAGAGCCAGGCCAGTAAATTAATTCAGAGGCTCTAACACCAGGGAGCTTTGGCTCTTATTTCAGGCAGAAGTGTACCAATGGGGAGTGGAATTAGATAGGAAAAATATTTAATAATACTACAAAAGTCAATTCATAATCTGGTTAACTGAGGAGGTTTCTCTCGCGGGCAGCTGGAAAATCCTGCAATGCACAAGTACCAAAGCAGAAGGGATCTGTATTTACTTCCCTCATTGCATGGGCTCTCTGGAGTGACAAATTAGGGAGAGAAGACAAAGGGTGAGCTGAGTTTTGAGGAGAGGCCTGAATGGAGGCAAAGCACATGACAATTAGAGGAGACTGTCATCTCTAATTAGGTGTGTGTCCTCAGGCAGTTCGTACAGAGTAAACAGGAGGGTAAATGTAAACTGAAATAAGGTGGGAAGTTTGGAAGGCTGTGGACCGACATGCACGGTTTGGTTGTCAATCCCAAAGCTAATCCTTAAACCTGTGTTGAGGGATTCAGCAGGGCCGAAGGTGGCTGTGAGCAGCTGCGATCCCGCCAGACAGAGGCCGCCCTGCCTCAGCCCCGTCCCCACGCTGAGGGAAAGGCTTGTGAGGGAGGCGGCCAAAGGCCTCAGCTCCCCTTCTTGGCAGAGAGACATACACAGATAAGAGGTCATAGGTTATTTTTTCTGATGGTTTTCTTCAGAAAAGGCAGAAAAATTTACTTTTAATTAAAGATGTAGAACAGCACGTGGAGGAGGAACCAGGCACAGCTGCCGCGTTTCCGCGGCCGCCCCAGGGCCAGCACCCAGCACCCCCAGGCGCGATGTGAGGAGCCGCTCTCGCACATCCCGGGGGCTGCCGCTCCACACCTGCCCCCTCGGCGGGCGGGCTCAGGCGATGCTCTCCCGGGGCGGGCGCTCCGGGCCGCGTCCCACAGTGCAATGGAGGAGCCGGCCCAGGGGCGCCTCGGCTCCCCGCACCAACGGCTCCTTCCCGCCCCCCGCACCCACCCGCGATGGTCTCGCCCTCCCCGCTCTCCCCCGGCCGAACGCGCGCCGAGCCCTGCCTGCCGATTGGCTGCGGGGCGGGCGGCAGCCAGCCAATGGCGACGCCGCGGGTGGCCGTGTCGCTGGGGCAGAAAACGCAGGCAGGCAGGGGGCGGGCACGCGCGCGGGGGCGGGGCCGGGTGGCGGGCGCGCGCACGGCCGGCAGCGGGAGCGCGCGCGGCGGCGGCGGCTGAGGGGACTCGGCCCGGCCCGCGGCCCTGAGGGAGCGGCGGAGCTGCGGGCGCATCCCGGGAGCTGCGGGCGCTCCCGGGCCGGGGCAGCCACTGCCAGGCCCTGCCTGTGCGCCGGTCCGGCCCCGGCGGCCTGAGCCCTCGGCCCCGCTCCCGGCGGCCTGCAGCCCTCGGTCCGGCGGCCTGAGCCGTCGGTCCCGCCCGCTCCTCAGCGCCGGTGCTGCGCCGCCGTTGGTCCCGGCCGGCGGCACGGGTTTGGTAGGAGTACCGAATCTTCCCGTGGCTTTTGTGTGTGCGGCTGCGGAACAGCAGCTGCTGTTGGCAGGTCTCCAAGCTTCGGTAACGGGGGGGTGTTTGCCTAAAGTTAGCGAGAAGGGAGAAGAAGTGCATGCTCTGTGAAAGTTACTCGGGGATGCTTTGCCCCTCGGGAGGTCTTGATAACTTTTGGAAGCTTTGTCCTGCTGCGTGTGTTGTTCTAAAGGTTATTGTGCCTGCTGAGGTAGATTTGCCTGTTTAGATGAAGTGCAAGAAATGGTAGTGGGTACAGAGCACCGAGCATGTTTCATCGGTGGATTTCAGTGACTTAGCAAAATACCCTTGTCTTAAGAACTACTTTAAAAGTACTGTTCATGTCACTGATTCATCTTAAAAATTGCCATGGTGTTTATGTTCTGCCTAAAGTGGCTTCTGTCCATTTTGTTCCTGTATTATCTCTTCCAAGATGGATTCTGATGTTTTAAAGGCACTTTTGCAAATTGTGTTCCATAGTTTTATCGGTAGTGCTGTATGATGTAAGTCTGTAAATGAGAAAATGATGTGGTTTGGAGACAGTGATAAATCCCAGCATCCTGAAGCTCCAGAATCTTCTGGTTTGAGTTAGTGAGAAGGTGCATTGCTAAACTGAGAGTGTATCTCCTATCTCCTGATCAGTGTGGCAGCAGGGTGCTGAATCTCAGAGTGGTACTATGTGGAAGTTGGGTTGTTATTTATTATGTTGCCATAGGTGGAGGATTTCAGCTAACGTCCTGTACAGGAAGAGCATTTCTCCCCTTGACATTTAGAACTTGGTTACAAATGATGAAAGCTGTGATTATTATTTAACACAGGTTTTGTCCTTTTTTTGTTTTTTTTTTTTTCCCAAGAGGTGGACAACTGATGGAACGTTCCACTAGGAAGGATAAAACTGTTCTTTCAAGGTAGTTTGTGTGGACTAGACTGAGACCTGCACAGAAAAATATCTCAACCAACAGTGACTGGAACACTTGAGAACTCCTGAATGATTGCTTGAGGTAACTCACGAAAAGTGTTGATTTAAAAAAATGTGTGGGGCAGGGAAGACTTATTGCACAAGGCTGGGAACTGTTTGGTTGGCATTAGGAAATACAGGACCATGACAGCTGAATGCTGTGCCCCAAACCAGAGTTTCTTTATTGCCAACGGTCTCTGATGAATCATTTGCCATTAATGGGTCTGTGGCAGGCAAGTGGGCATGAAAGGGGAAAACCAGGGAAGAGAAAAGGGGAAGGGAATGCAAAAAGTTGTTTGGTGTCACAATCTTGCCACTCAACGGTGAACAGTTTTCAGGGCAGCAAAGAATGAGATGGGGAAAAAAGGGCTCCTGAATTCGTATGGGACAGACACAAATACCAGTAATTCTCCAAGGCCTGCGAAGGGATTTGTGAAAATCCTGCTGGTGAAGAAGTGTATGAGGGAATTCTGGCACTGCTTAATATTTTGTGTACATAAAGAAAAGATGGATGATGCCATCCTCTTCACAGTGACATGAGTTGATTTGGAGAATAGCAGCTACTAGGAAGGGGGAGAAAGAGGAGCCAAAAAGAGAAGTGTTTAAATGAGAACTTTATCCCTTGCAGATTGAATGGTGGTTGTAAGGAGTGTTTGAAGGGTGCAGAAGCACAGATGTGAAAACTTGATAGCTGTATGTACACATACAGCAAAACAAACACTGTGTCCTTGAGGGGAGGATCAAAAATTAGCTTGTTGTCTAAGGGCTGGGCTGAACTCCATATGTTGGTGCCATTTTATCAGCATCACTCACATGAAGAACGTTTCTCTCGTGGGTGCAATTATAACACTGTTATTGTACATTCATACAGATAACCACTTGGCAGAACAGGACAGTCTGAATTGATAGAGGTGGCTTTTATCAGCTAAAGAAAGCTGTGTACATGGGGCTGTTAGCCTTGAAATAACGGCTCCTGTCCCATTTATAAGCAGCAGAACTGAGAGCTGCTAAGGCATCCAGCCTTAGGTGTGCTGGAGGGTGATGCCTCTCTCTTGCTGCACCATTTACCTTCCCAGCAACTTCACAGCTGCTTCTAATAGCTAATTATAACTGAACCCCCCCATTTTTATATTTTGTGAGTGAAGCCTTTGCATTTTACTTTGATGTAGTGGTTTTTGTTCTTTAAACTTCTCTGTTTCTGTTTAGGCCTTGGAGGGAAAACATTAAGACTTTACATTTCACAGTCAGCTCTCTTAAGCAGCTATGGAAATAGAAAAGGAACACATTTATATTACCCCAACAGGTAAGTAATATATTCAGTTGGTTTGAGTTTTTTAAACTTAAAGTTGCTTAGCTGACCAGAAGGGTTCTCTGTAGAAAAAATGCATCACCTGAGAATTTTTTTAACAATACTGATTCAGAAAAAAAAATAATCAAAACCTTACAGAATAATTCCTTCAATTGTATATCAAAGAATCCTGCTCTATTATGTTTATTTAAAATTTATTAAAATAAAAAAGTTAGCATTTCTGTAAGTTACTGGGTAGTAGTTGTACTTTTCTCCTTATCATCTGAGTTCAAGTAGTGCTGGTGTGAAGAAAAGGATAAACTTAAAAGTAAAATGTGTAGGTGTGTTTAAATTCTGCTTTTATGCAACAATTTACCTTAGAATTAGGGGAAACAAATGTTGAGGGGCTTGGCTGGAAGTGGGCTGGCATGGGAAAAATTTAGGAAGTACATGTTAGAGACTGCCATGAAATGGACTCTTTTGTCCATATCACACATTTATTTTATGATGCTTAGTCAAGGTAACACAGATTCATGTTGTTTTCTGTATCTTCCAAAGGTTGTGATGGTCTGCACTGACTCTTTCATGTCAAAGAGGTTTTAAATGTTTTTTAGAATAACTTGTATCTATTTTAAGATGGTGGGCAATGCAGTTGAGGTGGCAATACACTCCATATGATTTCTGATATTTAAGCAGAATTAGGTTAGTGCAGAAGACACCTTGGTTGTCACCATTTTAGAATTATGTTTGGCTAATGGGTGGAAAGCTGCAGGACAGCTGGGTTGGCAAAGTTTGGACAGTTTAAATTGGCTTTGTTAACAAAGGTAGCCCATAAAAGCACAGGTTTTAAGTCAGCCTGCTAGGCAGGGTAACGGGATAAATTTGGATAACTTCTTAATGTATAGTAAGCAAAGTATTAAATTTGATTGAAGACTGTTGCTGCCTATATATGTATGTGTTATATGAGGTGAAAATAAGAAGCTAGAAGGAAGATCTGCACCATTTTATAGGTTCTTATTATTTTATTTTATTATACAAGTTTTTGGAAAATAGTATGTGTGTTTAGTCTGTTCTTTGAAGCCTAACTAGGTAACTAATAGTGGAGGACCAGTTGGTTACCACATTATGGAGAAAGAGGCTGCAGCTGGAAGTTCCAGTGTTACATAAAACCCAGTGTAGTAAGAAATATTAATTCTTCTGGGTTTCCTGTGGAGGATTTCCTTTAGTCTTGAGCCTGAGATCAGGACTGTGTGAGGAGGTTGGACTGTAGCCTCCCCTTTAATCCTTAGCTGTCAGAGTCAGGGCTGACTTGTGTTAATTGTTGGCAGTTTCCTTTGGAAACTGAGAAAGGAGTAAGTGGTCTTTGAAGAATGGAGTTTCTGGACAGCCAGAACTCAGGTCTAAACTGGAGAAATTCGTGGGAGACTGAGCATGAAGAAGAATTAGAGTGGATTTGACTGAGAGGAGCTGGTTGTTGCTGATGGGATCTCCTGGGGAATGAGAGGAAGGAAACCTGTTTGGGTTTGCTCTTTTTTTTCCCCTCTGTTAGCTTTATGCAAATCCCTCATTGTTTTATTAAAATGTTAGACAAACAGAGAAAGCCGCTTGTGAGAAATCTTTTCCTGGATGTGATGCATGCTTTTCTTTTTTAGCTTGCTGCAAGCATAAAAGGAATGCTTTTGTGGGAGTAATGAGTGGAAAGATGAAGCTTAGTCTGGAATGGCTGCACTGTTGCTTAGCTGTAGCATTCACATCTCTGAACACCAGTATCTAATGTCATTTCTTTGATCACAAAGGAGACAGTTCCATCAACTTTTGCTCTGCTTAATATAATCTTTGATATGGGTAAATACTTGGAGATTGGCAATATTTTATTAGTCCACTTGGCTTTAAAAACAATTGTTGGTGAACTTGTTTCAAAGTGAAAAAAACACAGTTTTGAGAAATATTGCCAAATGCAGGTTGCTGATGAGCAGATATTGGAAGGGTGAATTAATATCTTAGCTAAGTTCAAATGTAAATTTTGAATACTCTTCATATTCTGGGTTTATGGCAGTGAACTCTTCTGTAAAGCAGTTTTGGAAAAGCAGCTTCTTCTGAGTGCCCTCACCTTGCCCTGCTAGTGTTGGGGCTGTGGGTTGTGTCTTTAGTGCTCTGCTCAGTTCTGAAGAAATGGAGAACTGTGTAACAGAGAGCTGAGGCTGTTCTCTGTCTGTGTCTTCTAATTTGCAAGGACTTCCAGGGTACTCACTGAAATGTAAATTGATTCTCAGGTGCTTTTTCTTTTCTTCTTTTTTTTTCTTTTTTCAAAATCTTGATTAGTTAAGAAGGGGAAGAATAGCTTGTGAAAGCTTTTGTTTATAATGCTCTAAATAAGACATTCTGCTGAACCAGACAGCAGTAGTGGGGGACAACTTAACTTTGTGAAGTAAGACTTTAGACCTAAACATTAAATGTGCTTCCTCAGAGAGTGAAGTTATTGCACTTCTCGCTGCTCTGAGATATTTACAGATCCTCAAGTAGTGAGAGAGTTTTTTGTTGGGTACAAAACAAATCTATTATGTGATTGTGTTGTGTGTAGAAGCAGTCTTGACAGAAGCTACAGTGAGAGAGAGTCCATAGAGAAGAGAGACCCCACTGATTCACAGGACTGTATATTCTAGGAGTCTTCATTACCAAGCTCTCCAAGCTTTGTAGTGAACAGCATTTCTCCCCCATAACTTCAAAACCAAAAAAATAAAATGAGTACTGTTTTAATTTTCTTCTATGTCTAAATTGTTGCTTTTCTTGCTAGTGAGCTGTGTTTGAAATTCCTTTAATTGAATAAGGGGAATGTTGGTTGATGACTTAGGGAGTTAATTTCACTTTGCTGATGAGTCTTGTAACATTGGTGAGTTCTTCCAGAATTTACTGTATTGGCAGTTTCATTTGTTTCTAAATCAAGGGAGGAGTGGGAGGAGTGAGAACGAGGCACTTAGATCTTTGCACTTAGGAGTTGGGATAGTTTTTGTTTAACAAGGGTGGGGTTTTCTATGGTTTATGTATTTGTGTATGGTTTTATTAATTTGCTCTCCAGCTCTTGACTTCTGTTCTGTTTAGATTGTGGATATTTTGTGCAGGGGAATAAGTAAGTCCTTATTACTGCAGTATGCAGACATACCTTAAAAACAACCTTTGCCTTTACCCTGTTGAAAACAAAGAGTTCTATATGATGTTACAATCCTTTCTAAATGCAATGTGGTTTGGTATTCTAACATAAAACTGTTTAAAACTATAAGTTTTTTTTCTGTCTTCTTTTCAAGAACTTGAGAATCTAAATGATGCTCCATTTTCTGGTGATGAAGAAAATGGTGGGTCTGAGGAACGAAAAACTGAAATCAATGGAAATTGGATTCCTGCAACTTCGATTACCGAAGCCAAAATAAACGCTAAGGCAAAGAGAAGGTTGAGGAAAAACTCCTCTAGAGATTCTGGGAGAGGAGACTCTGTCAGTGAGAATGGAGAGACACTGAAGGTTGGAGTTGTACCAACGAGCCCAAAGGGGAAACTCCTGGACAGGCGATCCCGCTCTGGAAAGGGGAGAGGTCTACCAAAGAAAGGTGGGTATGGCTTAGTGGAGAGAGTACAGTGAGAAAGGTAAAGGTTTGTTCAAAGCACAGTGCATTTTTTTCTGCTGGGAATCATTTTCATAAATCACAGTCTCTGTGCAGACATTCGGCCCTTTATGTTATTTAGTGGGTAGCAATAGCAGATGGCAGCAAATCTAATATGTCAACATCTGTCTTTGAGGGAAGTACATTTCCTTAGCAGGCTTAATACACAAATCTGAACTGTTGATGGTTCATGGGACTGTTACTAATGCAAATTGAAATCATGATTGTATTTGAAAATGCAGTTTCAACCTTCAGGAATTCCTGTGCAGTCCATACTGCTTCTAATGTCTTTCTGGAAAGTGATGAAAAGCGGCTGAGGAAGTGGGAACTTGTCAGACAAACACACTCTTCAGCATGTATTGTTAGTCAGGAGATGGGCACAAGCAGTGAAAGAATGCTGTGTTGAAGTCACAAGTGTTGTTTGTAAGCTGGTGGTCCTTACTTACTCTCCCATATTTTTGCCAGGTGGAGCAGGTGGTAAAGGAGTTTGGGGAACACCAGGTCAAGTGTATGATGTGGAAGAAGTGGATATTAAGGATCCTAATTATGATGATGACCAGGTATGCAAATAGTTTCTTTGCAGTGTTGGTTTATATTTCCTTTTATCAATTTCAGTGGCCTTGTGAGTTAACATGAATGTCAGCCTGGCTACACTGAAATGCTCATTTTTATGCTCAAGAACAGATTGTTGGCCAGTAAAAAGTCAGCTGGTGTAGAAGTCACAGAGTAATACTCACAAATCTTATTCCCAAGCCCTCTTTCTGTGCCTGAGTAAGCAGCATCCCTTTCCCAGCTGTGTTCTCCACTGCTGTTTCCCACAGAGGTGGATGCTGCAGTGCTGCTCTATATTGCACACAAACACTGTGTTAAAATTGCAACACAGACTTGCTCAGGTGGAGAGGTTAGTGGGGACAGTGTCCTTTATAATAATATAATAATCCCTGTATTTCCAGCCTGCCCAATGTCTTGTCTGCTTGGTATAAACACTTCATGCAGTTGATGGCTTGGACAGTTTGTTGACATATGTTTAGAATATGTTATGGAAGATTGTATCTTACAGCCATGTTACTGAGAGAAGGGGAGAGAAAGCAAAGCTTATTGAGCAGAGGGCTTTCCATCATTGAAAGGGAAATGGTGATTAGGAACACAGCTTGCTGAAGTCTCTGAGATCAGATCAATTGCAAGACAGACCATCAGTACACTCTGTGTGACATAAGCAGAGCAATGGTGGTGTCCTTTGAGTAGAGGCTGTTTGCTGTAGCCATAGCTGCTGAATGTATGGTATGTGAGAATATCAAAATCTTCTTCCAGGATCAATTTTCACTAAAATTTGACACTTTACGTTACATTAACAGAAACAGCCATTAAAATGGAGCTGACAAGTGCATAGAACAAAGTTTAATGAAGAATGAGCATTCTGTGTAACTTTGATATGATGGATGGATAGGTTTTTTTATTTCTTCTATACTTCTTGATCATGAAAAGTTGCTTTCCATTACACATTGGTTGAAAAACGTCTTTGATCAGATATCTTTGTTCAGCTCTGTAGTATTGCTCTGAATGCTGCTTCTGTAGGTGCAGAGTAGGGAACTAAATTAGAGTGGTGAGATGTGGTGCTGCTGGAGCTCTGAGGACAGGTGATACATGAGGCAGTTGCTGTGTGCCTCTTTTTTCCCCTTCAGGGAGTGCCTTTGCTCACTGATGTTGTGAAAATGCCTTTTCTGTGATTTGTGCGTGGCACCACCTGTCTGGTCACAGAGTCACCAGGGAGGAGGGAACAAGGCAGGGCTCCTGCCAGGGACAGGAGTGCCACTTGCAGGGGAAGGTGCTGTGGCACAGCCAGCTCTGCTGGGCTGGGCCAGGAGCTTCTGCTGCTCTCCCTTCAGGATGGAGGCACTTGGCCTCTGCTCCTGTGGCATCAGCTGAATCCTAGGAACACAGTTTGATGTGTTTACCATTGTTTAACAGTAAATTCAGCCTTTCAGTTCAATTGAGCTAACAGTAAAGTCAAAATATAAAGAAGTATGACAGCCGCCATTATCTGCACTTCAATAGTAGAGACAGAGTCTAATGTTTTTTGGCAGAATATTGACTACCAAGAATGAAGTATTAAGGATTAAAAACCCACTCTTTTGATGCTATTAGTGCTGCATAAGTTGCAAGAAAAGGCCATAAGGATATCTGCTTCTGTTGTCTTTTAAAACAGGAGAACTGTGTCTATGAAACAGTAGTTTTACCTCTTGATGAAAGAGCATTTGAAAAAACTTTAACACCAATCATCCAGGAGTATTTTGAACATGGAGATACCAACGAAGTTTCGGTATGTTATGTGCCTTTTTATTTCTGTGTGTTAGGGGTCAAAGCTGTAGCATACAGGGTAATGCAATTGCCAGCTGTGAATGAATTTGTAGAGAAGAAGAAGTTTGCAAGAAATGTCCTATAAGAATAGCCAAGCAGTTATACTAATTATGTGAGCAGAAGCATATATGTAATTTTATAAGCACATAAATATTTATTTGAGATCTATGTATATATTTAAATAATAAAAATTATGAAATCTCATTGTTTTGTTTTTCAAATCTTATCTAGGAGATGTTGAAGAACTTAAACCTTGGTGAAATGAAATACAGTGTGCCAGTCCTGGCTGTTTCCCTGGCATTAGAGGGGAAGGCCAGTCACAGGGAAATGACATCTAAGCTTATCTCTGACCTTTGTGGGACAGTAGTAAGCAAAACTGATGTGGAAAAATCCTTTGATAGACTGCTGAAAGAACTACCTGAATTGGTGTTGGATTCTCCCAGGGCACCACAGGTAAATTTGTAAATCTTTATGCCAGTAGTCAAAAGCTTTTTGTGGCTGAAATAGATCAAATAAAATGAAATAGACTCTGTGTTTTGAAAAATATCGATTGATATTCTTACTGTCTGTAATCCTCTCCCAATTACCCAGGCTGTGTTTTCACTTTGAAACAGCTCATTTAAATAAAGCCTGAAAACCAAACACATAATTATCTACTTAAAACTTCTTTGAAATTCAGCATTTAATTAAAAATGCTTCTGTTTTGTTGCAGTTGGTGGGCCAGTTCATTGCTAGAGCTGTTGGAGATGGGATCCTAAGCAGTACCTACATAGATGGCTACAAAGGCACTGTGGATTGTGTCCAAGCAAGGTAATTTCCTTGCTTTCTCTATAGTTTTCTATTCCAAATGTCAAAGATGATGATCAGGAATTTACAGCTTCAAAATAAATCATGCAGTTCTTGAACTTTGTTTTTTAAATTTGAAATGAAAAAAAAAGCCCAAAAAACCAACAAAATCCAGAATGACTCAAGTCAGAAGAGAAATACTGAGTTCTGAAAAATGTATTAATACATTTGAGTTAGCAGGTTTGTTGTCCAGCTTACGTTCAAGAGTGAAAAATGAGCTGTAAGAAGAAGTGGTTATGGAAGGTTTTGTCTTAGAAAAAGCTTTAATGTGATTAATGGGTAAATATAGCATCAGGGCAGCTGCTGTAAATAAGTTGTGAAATACACAAGGGATTAACTGTTTTGCCTTGCAAAGGTTTAAAGCCTGTGCAGTGATTTCCGAGACTTTCTCTGTAACCCTCTGTTTGTCAAGAAGTATAATTGTTTTCCATGTCAGTGTGAGAAGTTTGAAGGAGCAGTCTCTGACAAAGAGGGATGTTTTAATAATGAGTCATGTTTTATTTTTCTTACCCCCATAAGTGTGTATTTCAGGCTTGATATGGAGGTGCTGAACTCTTGTTTCTTCCAGAAGTTGCATTTGCAGTGATTATAGTTTGGCACTTTCAGAAGGAAGAGCAGTTCTTAGCTGCCTACCTTGGGGGCTCAAATTGAGAAAATTGTCTGTCACTTATATAAATGTGCCCTGTGATTTGAGGGATTGTAGCCTGCATTCTGCACATCTGGGATGCTTTGCTGCCTTTGTTATTTCTTGGCCAGTCTTTCCTGCTCATTAAATCTTGGTGAATAGAGTTATTGTTATTGGCTTGCCCCCAGCGTGAGGGCTGGGAGAACTTTACATGGACGGTACATATTGTATCCCAGGCTTCTTTTTTGTCACCTCACTTCCCTTTTTATAATTTTTCAATAAACTGGCAGGCATCCCTAGCTTGTGCTATTTTTCCAACTACATATTTACCTTCTGAAGTGTTTTCTTTGGCTTAAATTCTAAAGGTTTCATAATTCTTCAGACCGAAATGGAAAATAGTATTTCAGTAGAAAACTGTTCTTGAGTGTGGCAGCGACTCAGGCCTTTTTTGTTTGAGATCTACCTGCCAAGCTGCATTCTTGGAGGAGTCTGGGTACAATCCATTTCTGCATAAGAAAAATATTCAGGTGTTTTTTGTGAGGATGTTTCAGGTTCTGCATTGGTGATTTAATCTACTGCCATCACAGCATTGTTACCTGTCCTTGGCACGAGCAGCAGTGTAAGGTGACAGAAGGACGATGTGGGGAGCTTGTATTTTGCTGGTTTTATGATCTGGATGGTCACTTGCTAACCCTGACCCCTTCCCAAAGACCTGGTAGCTTTGTCTGAGGAGCCATGGCCGTGGGGGCAGTTGCAGGTGCATTAATGGAGTTCTGTGCTGAGGTTTAAAGCTCTGCCTCTGCCTTTAGAGCTGCGCTGGACCGCGCCACGGTGCTGCTGAGCATGAGCAAGGGGGGCAAGCGCATCGACAGCGTCTGGGGGGCTGGAGGGGGCCAGCAGTCTGTCAAACACCTGGTCAAAGAGGTAAGGCTACAGCTCCCCACTCTCCAGTGGGCTGCTGCTCTGAGCTTCTCTGTTTGGGGTACAGGGAACAGGGACAAGCATCCCATACTAAAATGATGTCTTATGTCATGAGTGTTGGCTTTGTAGATAATTTAGTTGATTTTGTAGTATTTGTCACTGGTGGGAGCATGCTAGTACAACATTCAGTATTGCAAGTATATGTTTATTTTTGCTTCAAGCAAAACTTGTAAGCATTCAGATTTTTAAGACCTCACAGTATAAAGTGATGAAGTAATTAAAAGAGCCAAGATGAAACTGGCTCAACTAGATAAACTATTATATTTTGGCATTGCTGATCAAAAGCACAGTAATAACTGAAAAAAGAGAGAGGGAGAAAGAGGAATGTTCAGAGATCCATGCTATAAAGTAAGCAGGTTTGAAGGAAAAGGCCATGTTACAATTTCTAGGTTGGGAGTCTAACAGATGATAGGAGGAGGCATTCAAGGGAGAGGATAAACTTAATGCCACCCACATGCTCCTTTTATGGTGACACACAGCTTATAAAACAATGATTTTGGTGTTTCTCTATCAACACTGTGGATAGGTATTTGGCTTACACTGTGTTTCAGGTTACTGATAATGTCTCCATTTAATTAATGCCTAAATTTAATTACATTTATAAAAGCATTGGCAGCAAGTTTGAGGAACTAACTTGCTGCTGGGTTGCTAGTGGATTATCAAAACGGTTGACAGCTTTTACATTTTATTTCTAATTAGTGTTGGGTTTTTGTTTTCAAATTCAATAGATTGATATGTTGCTGAAAGAGTATTTGCTTTCTGGAGATGTATTGGAAGCAGAACGCTGCCTTCAAGAACTGGAAGTACCCCATTTTCACCATGAACTTGTATATGAAGTAAGGAGAAATCAGTGCCCTTTAATAATTGTTGGTGTTTTGATGTGGGCATGCAAATAATACAACTGGCATCTGAAGCTTGGGTTGCTTGCTCTGTTATTTGAATAACTAAATTGTTTCATGTAAAGTTAAAGGTTTGTGTGCTCATTTGTGTGTGCATTGTGCAACAAGTAAGCTGCTGTTGACTCTGGGAAGATCCAGAAGTAATTTCTGGGGGTTAAATAGTTGAGTTCAGATTATTATAAGTTCCTGAAAATAAGATCTCAGTTTATTTTCTGCTGAGGAATAGCAACAAAGAAAATCCTCCCATGCTTTGTTTTGGTGTTTATTTCCTTCTAGTTTCAGATATCTGGGTATTCTAATGGGTGTTACCTGTTTTTGTTAAGTTATAGAGCTTCCTTTTTCAGGGTGGGATTGTTTCACCCAGCACATTTGTAAAAGCTTACATATTTCAGACCCAGCCTATATGGGAGACTGTTCCCATTTGTACTGTTTTATCTGCCAAATTGGGAAATGGTTGTTTACCAATAAAGCTGAACACCCACAATCTACAAAATTTCCTTTTCAGTAAATTGACTTGTTACAGAAAATTCCTTCACAATAGAACTACAGAATCATTTCAGTTGATGGGGGTTGTGCAGTATTGTAGATTTTAAGCTTCTGGGTCCTCCTAAAATCACAGATACCAAACCCCCATGGATACAAAATTAAAATCCCTTGGATACAAAATTAATTTCACAAAATTAATTAATTGCCATCTGTACTGCAGCAGCCATATGGATATAGTCATGTAGTGCTGAAACCAGAGAGAGAAAGGCAATGCTTTTCACTCTGTCCAGTCCTTTCTGGTTTTTCATACCTTTTATCTTATCCAAAGGATTTCATTAGTTTTTCTTTTCTAATAATAATAATAATAATATCAAACTGAAGTAGTGAGTGCATGTAGCAAATGGGCTTTTTTACCCAGAAAATTCATAATTACACATTCAGTCCTTTCTGTACCTCATATGCTCACACACCTTGTACCTGAGCCAGTGTTGTCATTTTAGTCAAAACACTTGCACGGTTTGTTTTAGGCCATTGTACTGGTTTTGGAGTCAACTGGAGAAAAGACCTTTAAAATGATACTGGATTTGCTGAAAACTCTGTGGAAGTCTTCTGTCATTACTGTGGACCAAATGAAAAGAGTAAGTATGGCATTTAGAGAACTTTGTATAAGGTCTTCCAGAATTTCCAGCTGCCCTTATGCAGTTAAATGGTTAAAACTAATCATCTAAAATGCTGACATATTGCTTCATCTTTTAAATGTCTTTTTATCAGGTAGTTCTTTGTAACTGAAGTAGTACAATAAAGGCCTACTAATTACAAATGTCAAGTAGAGCAGTATAAAAACCAGTGTTTTCAACAGTTGGAACCATCTGTGACTTCTGAGGATGAGTACAGGACAATAATTCTGTCCCAGGGCAGACTGGAGACCACACCAACACTTACATAAAAATGACCCAGCTGTGTTGCTGGTGGGAAGTGATGAAGTCATCTCTGGTTTTCCCCAGTCTCCCCTGCTGCATAAACTTGTGTTGGTCATTTGTGGCTGCATTTTGTTCACTTACATGGAAGACATTCATTTTCTTCCCATGTTACTGCCCTTGTAGCAACAGGCAGGTTAACATACAGATTTCAAACTGTGGATTTCTGACTTCTTTAAAGTTAAAAGTTCAGGTTGTGTTTTTATATGGATATTTGTATAATGGTATGGGCTGATATTATAAACCTTATTTCTCTGCTGACTTGTAGCTGCAGTGCTTTAGGTTTGTGAAACCATATAAAAAAATAAATCCTCTGGAATGCAGAAGGGTATTTAAAAACATTGTAATAAATCATAGAATAACCCAATGATTATGTGGATCCTTACACTGCAGGGCTATGAACGGGTTTACTGTGAAATCCCAGACATTAACCTGGATGTGCCACACTCCTATTCTGTGCTGGAGCGCTTTGTGGAGGAATGCTTCCAGGCTGGAATCATCTCCAAACCACTGAGAGACCTCTGCCCCTCCAGGTACTTCTTCCATTGCAGATAGGCAAAGGCTTTTCATTCCTCTCATAGGGTACAGAAAGCAGCATCTGGGGACCAAAGTGTTGCTGATTGGAAACTGGAGGATAGACCAACAGTTGGACTGGAAAAATATGTATTAAGAAGCTGCACTGATGTGAATTCACAGGTACTCCTGTGAATCCCAGGTAGCACCCCTCAGTGCTCCACAGAGGATAAAGGCTGCCTCTCCTTGGGTTTCCTGATTTGCTTGGTAGAAATCAGTGCAGCTCCAAGCTGGAAGATCCAGGTGTCACAATGGTCCATGTAGGTGACAGAGGGAAAACTGTCAGTTATACTGGGGAAACAAAAAAATAATCCTTTAGAAATGGTTTAAACTTAGCAAACAGCATGAGTGGAGTTCTGAGATGAGACAACCAGTCCTAATATTTACATAAAAAGGAACAGGACACTAATATGGGATAAGCTCTGCACATCCCATTCCTCATATCTGTCCTGTGATTTGTTTAATGCTTCTGTTTTTTTTGTTTGGCTTGGTTACTTGTAGCATAAATAATGCTGTGTAAACTGTACCTAATCAGTATGCTTTACCTCCTTACTGGTCACAAAACAGTTAAGAAGTTTCATTTTCTCTGGGGAATATATGTCAATTTTTTAATAGGATATAAATACTATTATTCACAGTTTTATGCATTGGGAATAGTATTTATTTGACAGGTCTTTTCTATTTTGGGTGTTTTGTTAGAGTTCTTAAATGTGATAAATTTGGATCTTGGAATGTTAGCATCTTTATCAAGAACAGCCTCCATTTGTGGACTTCACACTTAAAACTCTGTGTGTGTGTTGGTATGAAATGTTTTGCAGGTTTGGGTGTGTGGGAGGATAGAGAGTCATCACTGTATCAAAAGCTTGATTATGCTTTGGTTACCATTTATATGTTGAGAGGCATTTTTGGTTTATGTACTTCAGTTTTAAGTAGAAACCCACCATTCCTAGGTTTCCAAACCAGCATTTTTAAGCAGCTGAGCTGACATTGTGATCACTGCTAACCCTGCTGAACTCACACTTTATATTTGACTTCCAAGACCCAAGGGAAGATTGTCCTCAGCGATAAAAACCAAGCAATGCTACTGTAAACGACTGAAAAGAGACTTTGTACTTTCTTACAGGGGCAGGAAGCGTTTTGTGAGTGAGGGAGATGGAGGTCGTCTGAAGCTGGAAAGCTACTGAAAGTGACACCTGCCTCCTGCAAGGGAACATAGCTCCTACCCATGTATACAGCACGCATGCTCCTCTGGTGTGTGTATGGATGCACCTCTGGGACTGACCAAATTTAACAGTTGCTTAGCACAGTTCGTATTTTTTTAAGAGCACATGTTTTGGGTACAAATTGTTTTCTTTTTTTTTTTTTATTTTTAATAGTTTTGTAAATTTCAGGAAGAAGTGTTCTTTCTTTGGGCATATAGTAGAACAACTAGCCACTCTGCTGTGGTGGTGCCTTGAAATAAGCTATCTCTGTATGTGCCATGTTTTTGACCTAATCATTCCACGTGTGCATCGATGTCTGACTGCCGCTCGCTCTTTCCAGGACAGTGCTGTCATCATAAAATCACTGGTTTATACAAAGCTTTATTATAGAAGGGTCAAGTTAAGCTGCTGTGATCCCATTTCCATTGCTGCTAAAGAAATACTGTGCTTTGGGAGTTAAAAAAAATTAGCAGTTTCTTTGTTTTAAAGAGCCCAAGACAATACAGCTGGGGCACAAGACTAATTCATCTGTTTCAGGGCAGAACACTGGTTGGTTTCAGCCCCCATGTACCAAACTTGTCTTTTTTTCTATGTAACTGGAAAAGTGAAAAGTTCTGGTAAAACATATTAAAAATATTTTTTGTGAAGCTCTTGTTTCTGCCTCCTTTTTATTTATTTTAAACAGAATAAATTAAGCAGTACATCTAATGCTGCCCTTTGGTATTGCAATCAGGAGGAGAGCACAGAATAATTAAATTCATGGCAAATGAGTATTTACCAGAATGTTTTGGAAAACACAACTGACTTGCGTAGGAGCGTCCAGGCTGGCACAGATACTGTGAACCTGTCTTTGCAGCCGAGCTTCATGCCAGCCCTTGCTCAAGAACCAGATGGATCTAAGGATGATTCGCTTCCAGGAACTCGGTAGAGCCTCTCCTTTGTTTTTCAGTTTCACGTCCATATTTCAGGTGTTCTGAAATGCTGGGAATAGCCATTCCAGGCCGGGAATATGCTGTGCTCGAGGAGCCAAGCGCTTCAGTGCTCAGGCGGGTCTGCTAAGCCCGGTTCGGAGCAGGGGCTGTGGAACTCGCTTCCTCCCGTTTGTCTGTTCTGCTAGCTCTAAAGACGCGTTTAACACTGCGCCAGGGCAGCGACCCGCGCAGCTCCCACACCGCCAGCGCCCGACGCGCGGCCTCCCCGCCCAGCCGGCACCACCGCCCGCGTTCAGGCCGCGCTCATCGGCAGCCCCGCTCCACAGCGGTACCTCCGATCGCGGCTGCCGCCGGGCACGACCCTCCCCGCGCTACTGCCGGGGCGGCGCGGGCCCTGCGGACGGCGGCGGGGCCGCCTGGGCCGCGTCCAGCGCCGCCTTCTGCAGCTTCTCCAGCTTCTCCAGCGACACCGACTTGAGGGGCAGGATCTTGGGCTTGCACAGCACCAGGGCGGGCATGTCCTCCACCGAGAGCTGCCCTGCAAAGGGAGAGAAGGGCCGTGAGCGAGTGTTGGGCCGGGCGCGCAGGGCCGGGCGCGGCTCACCGCCGGTACCTTGCTTGGGCAGCACCTCCCGCAGCACTCCGGTCCCCTCCGGCATGGCGGCTCCGGCACGGCACCGTCCCCGGGGGCAACTACAGCTCCCAGCTTGCACTGCGCGGCGCCACGCCCACGCACCCCTCTCGTGCCCCCCGGTGCGTGCTGGGAGTGGTAGGCCCGACGGGGCTCCGGCCGCCCCAATGCGCGCTGGGAACTGTAGTCCTTGGCGTGGCGCTGGGGTTGGGCCGCCTCGGACGCGGCGGGAGCGGCTCCCTCGGGGCTGTCCCGGTCCCGGGATTCCGGGATGCCGCTCCCCGCCTCAGCTGCGCCGGCCTCTGCTCTGGGGCGGAGCCGTCCCACCTGCGCGGGCCTGCCCGGCCCGGCGAGCTGCTGCCTGCCCGCCCGCTAGGGCCCGCCGCGGAACTCGGGCTTTGAGGCGTTTTTATGGTTTATTTTCTGCTTCTGTAAATAAAATCCCCACCAAACACCGTCCGGCAGACGGGCGTGGCCAGGGCGTACGCGTCCCGGTTTTCGTTTCCAGGCAGCGCCTCGGGATTCGCGCTGTGAATCACGCTGCTGTTTGCCATGTAAACAGCAGGAAAAGCCGCTGTCTTTCTAAACGCTGCGGGCTCGAATGCCGCCGAACCGGACGGGCCAGTGCGCCGGGATCCCCCACAGGGGTCCGCCTTCTGCGGGATCTTTGCACTGGGAGCAGCTTCCCTGGGAAAGCCCCCGGGAGGGGCCGGCAGGGATTCACCCGTGCTGGGCCTCGGCCGGGCCCCAGCGAGCCCCGTGCCGCGATGTGCTGTAATTTTACAGTTTGCTAATGAGCTTGCCTGTGTGCCCTGCACACCCTGTGCGCCTGGGGATCGCCAGCTCAGGCTGGTAATCCTGCTAACCTGGCTCCTCTCAGTGTGCTGGGATTGAGATCTGGCTTCTTGCTATGCACAGAGATGGCCGTGGATGAGTAAAAGGAGGGGGAAAATGATCTTTGCTAATAATTGTTTTCCATTCTACCTTGGTGGTGGCTGTCTGCATGCTTCCTTCCCTTTGCTAGCTCAGGGGGGACCTGTCAGCTGTGGGATCCAAGCTTTGCTGGGAGAGTAGTGATAAAACTTTTAACTTCCAGTAAGTGGCACCTCTCTGACAGTTATTTAAAGCCTCTGTCTGCATTGTTCCAGAACAATTTCCTTTTTCCTCTAGGCAACCTAGAGTAGGAAGCTGACAATCCCTCAGGTACCCGGTTCCACCTCGCTGGAAGCCTCTCCTGATGCTGGGTTGGAGGCCAGCAGAACCCACAGAGCCTGGGAGCAGGGCTCCTCCTCCCTCCTTGTGGAGCTGGCCAAAGGGAACTCTCCTGCGCTGCTCCAGGGCACCACAGAAATGGGCTCTTTTTGGCCTTACTCACATATTCCACTGTCATGTCAGAATATCAGCATTGTGAGGCTGTGAAATGGTTGTGCTTGCTGGGGACATCCTTCTCTACCCTTTGAAGAGCTCAGAAGCATTCCCACTGATTTCAGTGGGAAAAGTTCCTTTGTCTGATGTTCTTTTCCATGTGCCAGTCAGTATTTTTTGCTGCCTGGAAGGGAAAGGACAAGGCACTGCTTTATGATGGATGCTTTTAGACCAGGGGATTTCAAACAGTACATGCAATTTGCAGATCAGTTATTTGTAGATGTTTGTCGTTTTGTTTGTAATAACTGATCCAGCATCTTAGGTATGACTGTGGCTAAAAATGAACATAAAAGATACCCAGTTATGACTGAAAACTTTGCACTGTGAAAGCAGGAGTTATTCCTGTGGTAGCAAATATGGCCTGCAGAGCAACAGAAATGAGCTGAAAGCAAGATGCTGAAATCAAATTGTAGGCCAGGTTTTTCCCCAGTGTCCTTCACAGTGCCAAGGCCACCTGGAGTCCAGCATTATGTGAACACTTGCATTTGGAGCCCATCTCAGTTGTGCAGGGAATCACTTTCCAAAAGCAGTTTTCCTGCCAACAGGGTTTGTTTGCTTGGTGATAAGAAACAATGGTCAGCTCAGTTTGTTGCTTGAGCATTTTAGTGACTGAGAAGTCTGGCATCCTGTACTAGATCCATTTTCTTAGCTACTCAAATGCCAGCTTGGCAGCCTATCTAGGAAGCTGATAGCGCTGGGACAGGCGTGATTGTGGAGGTTGTTTTCAACAGTTTCTAGTAAGTCTGTTTTTAAGACAGCTCCTTCCTTTTTTCCTTTCCTGGGAAAAAAAAAATCATAGTTACCACCTTTATGACTGGGAAGTCTGGATGAGAGAGAGGAGGAAGGCATGGGCATGCAGCTTAATATCCTACTTTTCAAAGTGCCTTTAGAAACAGGACTGGGTTTAGTTTTGAGTAAGGCTGGTATTTATTCATAGTTATACCCCATTTTTTGACCTTTTTGGCCTCTGGGGTTGACATGTGCTCAGGCACCCATTCATTTCTCTCACGGGCCTTTCCAGTTCCCAGGAACAGCTGGAAAGATTTTGCCAAAACCCTTCCATCTGGGAAAAGCACTGTGCACTTGCAGTGGGACTGTGCTGAGTCAGTGCATTATCTTGGTGCCATTCCACAGGGCTGAAGAAGTCAGAACAAGACTGTCCTTGTGCCCAGGTCTCAAGTTGTGACCCCATGGCATGAAGCTTCCCAGAGTCCTGAGACTCGACCTCGGGCTGGAGCCCAGTGTTATTTGAGAAAGCCTGAGCACGGTATCCATGGAGAGGACAACGTGCTCTAGGTGGCACATCCTTATTTTACTGATGTCACAAACAAGTTATTCTTGTGCACTGCAGAGAGCCTCACAGCCACAAAACCAGCAATAATTTTATAAATGATAAGCTTGTTTTCCTCCTCCTGTTCCCAGATACTCTGAGTGCAGCAGACAGCAGAGATGTGCATTGCTGGAATCCAGAGGGTTTCGTAATTTGGCAGCCACTTGCTGAAAGCCCTGCAGATACAAAACAACACTTATTTCAAGTCTTGAGAAACATCTCCTACTAAGTAGAAGAAAAAAGCATTTAGGTGAAGCAATGTTGCCAGTCCCATTTGTTTATGAGGCTTGGGTTTTGTCTTTATACATTTAAAACGCTTTTTATTTTCCTTCTGCTTTTTAAGCCTTTCAAGTTCATGTTTTCCATATGACAAGAAAGTCTGGAATCAAGTTCTTACTTTTAAAAGCAAAAATTTGGTTCAGAGTCCTGTATAGTCATGCAGCTCCAGACATGGGGTGTTTAAAAATAAAGCCACTTTGATGGGAACTACCCATCTTGAAGGTGACTTTCTGTTCTGAGTTTAAGTAAATACTTTGTTGACAGTTTAAGAAGCTTTTCACAGCACCTGATCTGTGTTTGCTTTCCACTTGGATCTCTCTCTCTTTTCTTCTTTTCTCAAATTCTAGAGCTTGTTTCACCTCTCTATGTGCTGATGAGATCAGAAATGTAGTGTGGCAGCATTTGG